AAGATACATAGTACGGGTGAAAGTATCGTAGGATAGGTCCACATGGCCTACAAGGGTGTTTCATTGGGTCGGATCCATCCCGGAACCCGGTAACTTCCCACAAGTCCGGGTCGCTTCAGGGTTAAAACACGCGCCTTAAAATAAGGTAGTGCTGAAAAGTAGTACGTAGTTATGCAAGTAGTCAACAATTCTGAATTGAAGCAAAATTCCGAACCAAGGCCGCCTTGGCAGTCCTATGAAAATAAGCACCAAAAAAGAAAATCCAGAAGAGATTTCTGGTTACTGCGTCCGTTTAGATGTGCAGCGCATGGGAAATATGGGAAATATAGAGCAAATATTGGAAAAGGCAACGCTCTTGCGAACTGGTCAGGGAGAGGTTATCTGAAAACAATAGCCCCTCAAAACCCAACACCAGTTTTCCCACGCAAATAAAGAAACCAGAAAGGCCTGGCTAGCTAGGATAATAGTCGGACAATGGCGGAATTTTCCAGAGTATTGAAAAAATGTTAGCTATGGTTAGTCCGACAAGGGTAAAAATAAAAAGCGACAGAAAGAAAAGAGGATAAGGTCACGAGAGAGAGGTGTGAAGTAATCGCTTCTAGTAGAGTAATCCGATTCAAATCGAGAACCTGTTCAGGGGATGGCGCTCGAAAAGTGCGCAACCTTCGTTGACCCTGGCCGTCCGTCGGCCATAATGAAATACAACCGTTCATCGCCAAAAAGTCAGCTATAGCCTAATCGGGACAAAACGATTTTCCCGCTGATGGCAACAAATTGATGACAAGCCGAAGTAACATTGGGTCGAGGTGGTTGGCCAGTTGCTGGCCTCGGCTGGCACCAATTAATCGAGCAAAGTGCAGGCACACACAAAGCAGTAAATTAGTCAAGCGTAGAGTAGTTTTAGAGCGAAACTTCGGCTGAAATCGTAGGCCAGAGCTGGGATGACACACGAAAATCAATGGCGATTTCCAAAATCAATCGAGGTCATCCCCAGGTAGACCCGTCATTAAATAGAAAATGAGTATCGGCATAATGCGAGGTAGTGAGGGACGAATGAGGGTGGGAGAGACAGACACTGACCGGCTAGGCGGCCGACTACGGGGCCGATCGCCGCCCCGTGCACTTGCGAAAAATCAAATCAAAAATTCAACACAATCCCATGACAACTATATAGACCAGACAGAAACTGCAGTAAAGGGGCTTTGAAAAGGCCGAAAAGTGCTAAGTGAAACAAAAACGTAACGGCGGCACGAGCGCCAGTCAAGCATACACGTGTGACTCGTTTTTCTCCGAATTTATGCCTTGACGACAAAGTTACCATGGTGCGACGTGAGATCGATACCTGAAGCAGTTTTTTGGTGGCAAGTGGCTGGCGGACAGTGGGCAGCGCTGGTGACGGCCAAAGGTGACCGAGGTGGTGGCATGCGGATCGCCTGGCTCTCATCTCAGGCTGGCATGGACGCGAAAAGGCGCCGCATTCCTCGTCAAGTCACTGGCCTGTCCTTGACTGTGCAAATCCACTCCACTCCACTGCTGCTAATGGGATTTGTGCAGTGTGCGGCAGAGAATCGCCTGGGAATCCTCAAGTGTATTTCTTCCCGAAACTTCGTCAGGAAACCAAGAATTTCGGGGAGAGGGGTGGGAACGGGAAAGATCCTGACTTTGATACGATCGAGTGAAAAGTGTGAAATCGGAGATAAGCCACCTGACGGAAGTTGGCGTAAAGATGGCGAGAATGAACAGGCAAAAGCGATGTCCCCAAATGTTTATACAGGTGGATCGAGGAGCGCGATGGATGAGGGCGATCCTGTGGGAGAATGTGGTAATTATCCTTGACCTCTTCAGGCACAATCAGACTCCACAATAGAATGTTTTGTACCGGGCGACTGGTCCTTCCTCAGTTACTGAACATAAAAACAGAGTTTCTAAAACCTCCCGGGAAATCCTATTCATCCTATTTCGTATCCAATCAGTTTTAATTCTACAGAAAAGCAATGTACTACGGAACCAAGAAGAAAAGAGAGACAGAAGAAGGATAGCCCAAACAAGGCAGCTAAGAGAAATCTACAAATTTCTCTGAGAGTCCGGTAGCAAACAATCTCACATAAAAAAGGAAAGTGTGTTGGTCAAGTTTTCTAGGATGCGCCACGCGTTCTATACCTATCCAAAATTGTGGTGGGACCTGAATGCGCGATTGGTCTACACATTTTGTGGACAGTTGCTGTATAAAAAACTATATCCCCATGTACCAGAACGAATCTCGTACCAAGCAGAACAAAAACAGCTGACAGACTCGGTGTTCCAAGCGCAGGGATAACGCAGTGGTTGGGTGACTCCAGTAAAGATTCTAGCTTGTGTTCCCTATTCGATGGCCGATAAAGTTGTACTTCTTTAATAACTGACAAACCTACACCACCTAAAAAAATCCGCAGAACAGACGAGGAGGATGGGGGGAGCGGAGGGGAAGGAAGGAGTGAAGAAGAATAAGAAAAAAGAATGTTTTCGACTTCAGAAGAGAGCCTTTCCTACCATATTCTT